TGATTTCTTTTGGCGTCCTCCCATTTGACTCTTGTGAAGGAGATGGGTTGTTTCCGCTAAATATCCTAATCGTTGAGCTAGAATCCTTTCGCTTATTTTACCCAGGCAATTTAAGAGTGCAATTACTCTATATGCTTTTGGAAGGGAATAATCTGGTTTGGAAGCTTTCTTCAGAATAGCTCCTGTGGCTTGTTTCCAACATTTCGGGTGATATCCTAGATTAATAAGTTTACTAAAGAGAGTAAAAAAGGTTTGTGGGATTGCTTTGTAAGCCTTTATAATGATCTCTTGAGTGATTCCATCTGGGCCAGGGGTTTTTCCTTGGATTTTGACTGAACAGGCATTGCTTAATTCGATTTGAGTAAGATTAGGCCATTCCCATTGCTTGGATTGTTTATACCCTTCCCATTGTGGTTTTGGGGTAATAGGAGGGGGTGGGAACAGAGTTGATCTGAAAGCAGAGCATTTTCCTTCGAAAGAGCTTTCTGTTGCAATATCCGGTATCCTTTGATCTTGAAAGTCTTTAGTATAGGCCATTGCTTTGAAAATTGTCTTTGTGTCCTCCTTTTCTAGAAACTTATTCCAATGATCCTTCTTTGCTGTTTTAATAGCTTGAAAGTACTTGTTTCTAGCGATTCGATATCCTTCCTTAGAGCTATGATTCTCCAGATCTGATTCAATTCTTTGCTTTGCTTCTCTTAGCTCTTTTCGGAGATCTTTCAATTCAGGTGTCCACCATGGTTTGGCCCTTTTGATTGAAACAATTTTAGGTATACACCTTTCTATTGCTTTTGAATGATCCTAGTAAGTTCGCTTGCTGCTTGATCTAGAGTTAGATAGTGATTGTCTTTGTTTTTCAAAAGGTTTAAGGAATCCTCTTTGGTTGGAAGGATTAATTCTAAATTCGACAGAATAGGGGAATATAAGGATTCCGATTTGAGTATTGATTCGAACTTTTCCCAATTCGCTAGCTTAGTATTGTATCTAGCTATCGATCCAGTATTAGAAGTACTTAGATCTTCTTTTCCTTTTAATTCGAATAGTATTCCTGCATGATCGGATCCTGTATCTGAAAGCGTTTGCCAATTGTGAATTTGAGGAGAGATTCCCTCTGATGCTAGCGTTAGATCAAGAACACTTGGATTAAGGAGATTAGTTCGATAGAAAGTGCTGATTCCGGGCTCGTTTAAAAGAATGAGATTCTGATCTTCAAACCATTCAGCTAATTGATCAGCGTTTCCGCTTTTCTTCGAAAAAGGATCCCACCATGGGTGATGGGCATTGAAGTCGCCTAAAAGGATGGTTTCTTGTGTGATAGATATATTATACAAGCACCTTTCGATTGTGAAACCTTTCTCTTTAGCTTGATCAGCTTCGTTGTATATATTGATGATTTGAAAGGTTTTGTTTCCATTTTGACAATTGAAAATCTGTATATCAGAATCTATTGGAGAATCGGAAGCTAGATTGATTGTAGCTTGAAGAGTTTTTGATGTGTATAGTAGTGTACGTGGCCGGTAATTAGGATTGAGTCTTGGTAATGTTTGTGTGAAATTGGAGTGTATAATAGATCTTGAATTTGAGTAATCGATTCCGTTTTTAATAATCCAAGGTTCTTGAATCATAATGAGGTCGATGTTAAGTTCTATTGCAAGCTGTAGAACGTTCTCTGTAGCTTGTGAACTCCGATTGAGATTTATTTGAAGGATTCGAATATTAGTGTGACTCATTAATGAGTAGTATTCGATTTTTGTTGAATAGCCTGATAGGTTTCGCATGTTTTCGAATTTGCTGCATGATTCCCTTGGCAATTCGAGCATTTTACTTCTAAGTGTTGACAGAACTTTCCTCTGATATTACATACCATACACAAGTGTACTGATGTAATGTGCTTGCCTCCACATAATCCACAGGAAGGGTTCCTTCTACAATAGGCATCCTGATGCCCAAATCCTTGACATTTCTGACATTGTGTAGTTGGTTTTGATTCGTAGAATTGTTCTACTCTTATACTACTTCCAGCAATATATAATCGCTTTCGAATAGCTAATTCTGCTTCTGATTTTGTAGCAAAAGCAATAACGATAGCACCCTCTCGTTGATGGGCTCTTCTGGGGGCGGGTGTAAGCCAAAAGGGGGTTCCTATAGGCTTGAAGTCTGGATTGAAGGTTTTGATTTCGTCGAGTATAAGATCCATTCCTTTTGTGCCTGAGAATTCTTTAATTGGGATTTTGTGAATAATGACTTTGTGCCATTCTTGATCCTTTTGGATTCTTTCGAATTTGATAATATTACTCCAAATCGCTTTCTTCTCCAATAAGAATTGTGATGTAAAGGGATCATTTGTTGTGATAATGATATTATTATTGAAGGATATAGTTGCTGCTGCAATGACTGGCCCTTTGATTCCGATCTTTTGAAAGGCTTCATTTATTTTGTTTCGGATAATTAGAGGGGAAAAGGAGGTAGGGTTTGGAAAATCTGGCTTGATTAAGATAATTCGTTTTTGGATGAGGTTAGATTTCTTTTCTATATTAGTAGATGTAATGTTTTTCCCTTTGGGGACTAAATTCCATTCTCCTTTTTTTGAAATATCAGCGTATGTTGGTTTCAATGTAGTGGTAGTAGCAGTAGTGGGCGGAAGAGGTTTAGCTAATGCTTTCGCTTGTGATTCGATTTTGCGTGTAGCGGTTTCCAAATGGGTGATTTGAGAGGTGATGATATTCGAAGCTGTAGTAAGCTTCCCCTTTTCAGTATATTCTCTAAAGATCTCTAGGAGATCTAAGAGCTTGGATTGTTCTTCGCGTGATTGGGAGAGAGAGGAAGCTAGCACTATAAGGTCTCTAGCTTTCAAAATAGCTTCCTTGGGTGTGTTTGGGTTGTTTTGGATTCTAGGTTGTTTGTTCTGATTGCTAAGGGGTATTGTAGGGCCCCGTTTCTTATTCTGATTGAATATATAGGTAGTATTGGTTGTATCTTGAGTAATAAAGGGGTCACTAAGTAGATTGAATTCTTCAAATCTTCTTCCAGAACTGGCTGGCTGGTTGGTTGATAGGATAGGGCTAGAGATTTCGAATTGAGGGTTTTCAGAAGGCGGGGGAGGGCTTGAAGATATTGGGGTACCTAGGACAACAGTAGGATAAGTGTTTGGTATAATGGAGGCTTCAGAAGGAGCCTCCATCATGGCCGTATCCCTAAATGTTGATGGATTGTTAAGAGAGCTCATATTGAGGATCTAGTTCTTATTCTGGTAGTTCGGAGTGAGAAAATTTTACGCGAATTTTCGTGTATGTTTCGTGTTCGGAGCGCCGACGACAGTAGCACAACAACTACTGGTCAGAATCACTGGGGGGCAATTGCAATCAATTTGGTTTAATAACTATGATCTAAATCGATCGCGAACGGGTCGTATTTCGAAGAAAAAGTTTCCTTCGAAATTTTGTTGAGGGGAAAATAGTTACATAGTTAAATAGCTTTCATTGCATTTTTGCAGATATCTTCAGTTTTCAAAATGGACAAATTTCTTAATTCATGCTTCTCTCATGATTTAATCACATGTTTTCTTCTTTTTTTCTAGCTGGCTATCATACACCTGCTTGTTATCTAGAATGTTTAAAATTAGATCTTGGTCAAACTTCCTCGATGCTCGAAGTGAAGTTTCAACAGAGGAAAGAGCTGCTAATTGATACAATGCTTAGTTCTGTCGATTATCCAGGTTACTCTATTTTGAGTGGCGTCAGATGTATCTACGCAGTGAACGTGTCGATTCTCGAAGTATGGGCGACGTTAGCATTATCGTGGGAACAGAGATCTAATTTTTCATAGTATTATAACATGTAGATTCAAACTCTTGAAGAATTTTAGAAAACACTAATTAATCAAGTTTTCATTCAGTGAGCATCATTCTTTTGCAGGTAGTATACGTTGTGAAATTCAAGTATTGCTGTGTGACCATTACACGAAAATGCTGTGGTCCAAATTACATAATCAATTCACTTCAACGTCTTTCATTCATACCTATCGTATAGGAAATGGAGTGTTTTTATTTCCGATCTATAATTGCTATATATCTATTTCAGTTTTGAAATCTATTTCTGATCCGATTAAAATAGAAATTATAATTTTCCATATTCTGAAATGAGTTAGTACGATTAAAGTTAATAAATGATTGGGATAAAAGATAGTTGAGAGTATTTAAGTTGATATAAGAAATTCTTTAAAGTTTTTTAGATTTAAGGCTTAAATTTGAGTTATTTATTTTTCTTTTTTATTCATCGAATTAATATTAATAAATAAGCTAGCGAATATCATAATAAATTTATAAATTTATATACAAAGAATTTACTATTATTATAGAAATTCAAATTAGTTAAAGTTTGATCTGATGAAATTAAACATAATTATATAAAGAATGTAATAAAGAATATATATGCGATTAATTCAACTTTTAATGTTATATTTTAAATAACTTTTAACTTTTAGGAAATAATCTATTCTGTAATTATAGAAAGCTTTATATTTATATAATTTTGTATTCAATTTTAATTTTCTAGTTTAGGGATTGTAGCCTAATGTCACGGGATCACCTCTGGGAGTATTCAGAAGCTTTACCGCTGAGCTAAACGCCCAAAAGACTAGGAGGTAGAACTGGAAGTTCTAACTTACTCTCACATATATAGCAGGACAGGACAGGACAGAAAGGGCTTAGTGTTACCCCGTGACACCTAAGCTAAAACAGAAAAAGTGAATTAGATAGTTGTAATATAATTGAATATCTAATATATAATCAATCTAAATTGCCTCAATTTTCTACTAGGTAGATACTTGTCATGTTACATTTTAGCGCAACTTGTACTTTTCAAAACACATACGTGTGTCTCTCAAAACTTCACCAAACCCTTCATCTTTTTTCTTAACTTGTCTTTGAACGACGTTTTGTCTGCTATCTCTTTTAAGCTGAAAGAATTCTCATCGCTTCCGGAAAGATCAACTCAGAAGATATGACTAGTCAATCAAAGAAGACAGAGGCGAGTGAAGCCCACTTGTGGGAGCTCCAAATGGTTCGATCAGATCTTTCGGACGAAAATGATATTGAGGAGATTCCCACCATCAGCGAACTTCTCACGAGAAGTGCAGAAATTCAGAGAACTTCAGCTTATCATGAAGCTCCGGATGTTCTAGGTCAGTCCAGTACAGCAGCTTCAGCATTGGCTGGGAGTAAAGGAAAAGCATCGATGCAATTGCTCGAGGAGCACGGTACTCAAATGGTTGACATTTATGTTGGGGAAGAAAAGATATTGTTTCGTGTAAGTCGATTTATAGTATGAATTGCTTTGCATATCTTATATCGCTCATGGTATACCTCAACCGAAAAAACTAACAAGCCACATAGGTTTACAAAGACATTTTATGCAACGAAGTTAAATTTTTCGATAGGATGTTCGACGGAAATTTCAAAGAGGCGAAAGAAAACACGGCGATACTCCCAGAAGATGATCTTGAAGTCTTCGATATGTTAATGTCCTGGGTCACATACGATAATAAGGTCTGGTCACTTATGGGTCGAGATTTTCGCAAAAAATTGCATCTTTGGGTTTTAGCGGACAAGCTCTGCTTGACAAGTCTACAAAATCACGTTATGGACATTTGGCGACACGAAGATGAGGCTTACGAAACTTACTACACAGCTGAGGAGTTCCAATACATTTTTGAGAAGACAGCAAACAAATCAGAACCCCGCCAGTGCGCTGCCCGCATGCTTCGATTCCAGTCATTGCAACCGCCAACTGAGGGGCTCGAGTATTCGAACGATTCTCGTGGCGAACCAATTCCATTTTCTGATGTTGATACGACCTCTCTCACAAAATTCCTAGCCAAGAACGAGTAAATGTTGGAGATTTATTTGGATTTATCAAGAAGAGCGGACAATTGGAGTGGGGGTGATGATATGGATCCAAGAAGCGGCGCCTCTTCTATGGATACGCCATAATCATCCTGACTGCCCATTTCCTTGCTCATATCAATACACGACAAGATTCTCTTTTTCGTATCTCGAAGGTACTTGGTAACAAAATTTCCTTTCGGATGGGTGGGATAGAATTTTTCTATAGGGAGTCAAGGGGGAAGGAAAAGAAGTATTCATGGCACCATATCATAGACAGGATCAAGATCTTTTATAATTAAATCAAGCTTTCATTTCGTATTATTTTGAAAGCTTCACCCAGAACAATTTCTCCATAACGTAGTCTTTCGTAAAAGGTGGAGGTGAATGCTACGGCAGTAGCCTCGCGAGCCTCCCAGTTGTCTTCCCAGTTGTCTTTTGCAAGTCAACTTCTCAACATAAATAAGTCACCTTTGCTCAAGATTTATCAATCACCAAGAAACGCGTTGAGAGGTTTCCATCTATGGATAATTCCGAACGGTCTTGAGCCTCGATTTCTTGTCACGTAATCAAATACGGCTTCGAAGAATAACTCAAATCAACAACCACACCTTGCTCTGCCATTGAAGATTTAACAAGTCTAAGCTGGCCCCCCTCAAAGTTTCGAAAACGCGCAAACTATTCTGGAGATCTTTTAAGATCCAGATATCCAAGTGCTTGGACACTAGAATGTGAGTTAAAATGATGATCAAGAGATTCTTGCATGCGGAGGCTAATGATGTTGCTTCTCAGATCAAACATGGCTTCCGAAACAAAATCAAAAACCCTCAGCAATGGCGCTTTTTCTGAGTTAGAAATCCCACCCAAACACCATAATTAGTGAAATTAATGTTTCTTAGTATCGCAGGCACTCAAATGGTTGATCTGTTCATCGGACCCCACAAGAAGCTCATCCGTGTTCATAAAGGCATCCTCTGCAGAAAAGTTCCATACTTCGATAAAATGTTCAACGGCCCTGGGGTCGAATCTGCCAACAACTCAGCCACTTTCCCTGACGACACATTCGAGTCGTTTGACTTGCTTATAGGCTGGGTCTATAGCGGCCGTATTTTCTCAGCTCAGCCATGAGGAGGATTGCGCGCGCTTTACAGAAAGTTGCCACAGTTTATATTTGATCTGTGAGAAGTTGTGTTTATCAGAGTTAATGGACGAAATAATGGATCGTTTTCGTGACTCTCAACGAGTCTATCTTCAGTTGATTACATTGGATTGTATTAGAAAAATGTACAAAGAGTCCCAGAAGGCTCAGGATATCGTCTATATGGGTTGCACACTCTGATCTTTGTCTTCAGATCACCAAACTCTGCCTTCACAACAAAATGGCCAACCAACTTGATGCATAGTATCCTCAAAAATGACGATGATCTCTGAAAAGATTTTCTTGTCACCTTGAGAGATGAGGTATCTAATGGTAAAGCCATAATTGACCCAAGACTTGGGAAAGATTGTGTATATCACAGTCACAAGCTTGGCGATGAATGCACTAAAAAGCAGAACAAGCTCAAGAGGAAAATCTCTACAGCGATGCTCTCAGATAATTGAAAGATCTGTCGACGCCCATTCCTCATTCGCATCGGCTGAACATGCCTGTTTCTCGCCTGGTGTCGTCCTAATTAACCAATATCAAGCAAATTTAAAAAACATGGTCTTTTCTTCCTTGAACTATATGTGTGAATGAAAGTTTTGTGACTTTTTTGCAGTGAATTTAGTATGCAAATTGAAGAAATACTTGCATCTAATATGAAAGAGCGTTACAAGTCCAATATATCCCCTTTTGACGCTAGGGCATAGTCGGATGGCTAAACCCGTGACTTACTACCCACGACTCTCACCTTCTGTTCGAATTTCTTAGAACAATTCACTTTTCTGATTTGCTAGAAAAAATTGATAAATACGTGGATAAGTCTTCCAGATCTTTTCCCGAAAAACATTGACTCGACTACAAAATTTGAATTCTCGAATTCGACAATAGATCTTCTGCAGAACCATTTCTATCATTCAAACGCGCAAGTATTCCAAAAGTGCTTCTTACTTCATTCTGGGAAATGACATTCCTGCTAATTACATCTATAGATCTTGCATTTAAGCTCATCTCGAAATATCCTTCTCAATCATATCAAGAATGTCGTCACCTTTCGGTGGACGCGGTACTTACAGAGGCTCTGCTCGTAGGGGCGGTGGAGGCAGTGACCATACTCGTGGTAGCTTTGGAAGTACTCGCGGTAGTTGTGGAAATGCAATTGTCGATCTATCTAGTAAAATAAATGATCCGTTTAGTGCAGTAATTCAAAATCCGGTTTGCTATGGGCAAGACAAATGAAGCTGAACGCTCTGTCAAGATTGATCAAACTATTATCTGAAAGACTTATATAACTATGTATTTATCAATTTTTTTAAGTAAATTAGAAAAGTAAATTGTTCTAAGAAGTTCGAATAGAAGGTGAGAGTTGTAGATAATAAGTTATGGGTTTAGCTATCCGACTATACTTCAGCATCAAAAAAGAATATATTAAACTTGTAATGCTTTTCTTAAGTATATTTCACAGTAAACAATAAAAAAAGACTTCCAGCTAACAGTATAAAGTAAGACAGAAATAGTCGATCTCATAGTAGGCCCTAAAGAAGCTCTTTTTCTAGTCCATAAATCTTTTCTCCGCAACAAGATACAATACTTCGATAAAATGTTTAACGGCGGATTTAAGGAAGCGAAAGAGAATTCGGCAAAATTTCCCGAGGACCTTCCTGAGTCTTTTGATATACTTATTGAGTGGGTATACTCTGGACACGTTCGATTTTATGAGGTCGGGGATAATGCCGGCCCGGAGAACTGGAATTTCCTATGCTTTTACGCATTAGCAGAAAAGCTTGGTCTCACTCAGTTGGAGGATCGTGCACTGGACATTTATCGACACAGTTGTAGAGCTAAGAATTCAAACTTTGGCATGGACTGGGCTACAAATGCATACCAAATCACTCCAGAAGGAGCAGCACTTCGAAGATATACTATTCAAGTGTTGGTTTGGAGATTTCACACCCAAGAAAATTTGGGTTCCAATCTCAATGACCATTTCATCAAGGCAATGCAAAGCGACAATGATCTCTTTGCAGACTACATGCTTACACTTCGTAAACATGTCAAAGTGGGAGCACCAACAGATCCGAGAGTCATTGATCCAAAGATTCCTGCCACCAAATGCGAGTAGCACAATCATACAAAGGACGAGGACTGCTACAGGTTAAGAGAACTTGAATAGTAATACGAACGGAATTTCTGTTAGGAAAATGGGGGAATAAAGGAGTCTTCTATGTGGAGGATCGGTTCAATATACAGTCATAATATCTCTTTCTTTGAACGAGTACAGGCTTTCACATCACGTGTACTATGAAAGTCATTCATCTCCATGAGACTGACACGCGATCTTTTTGTATTCTAGCAGAGAAATAAAGCCACTGAAGTTTTCAGAACTCAAGAGTGACGTTTGGAACCCCATTCATCTATCAATCAGGCTCACGCTTAATTATGCGCCAGGTCTCGTCTGACATTTGGTTTGATCCAGTTGATGTTAGCCCAAACTTTTTGTGCACTATGACATGTTGATGTTTTCCTTCTTTACGTCTTATTCACACATATCCCTTGGCCATATAGAACTTCACTGTCTAATCAGCCTTTTTTCTTTCTCTTCTACTTCTAGAACTAACACTTTCGAACTAATGCTGATAGAGGCAGAGGGACAATCTAAATTTATGTTACATGTTTTTGGTTGGATGATTGAGTCCTCTTAAGCATATCTTTCAAGAAGTCCTCGACATTGTATTGAATTATGGAAATGATCAACGATTAATCCGGTTCAACTTGAAGAGGTTAATTAATGACTCCGGGTATCCATACCTTTACAACCTTCAAACAATTGAAATTTGTCTAATACTAGGTAATTCACTAGGTATGTATCCATCGGAATTATACAGTAGACTATTTTGAAACTCTGGTGAAGTGAACCCATTCACTCATGTTGATTGCTAATCCTGACGTGGATCTCAATCATGATTTGTAGTACCTAGGTATCAAAAAGTTCGTTACTTGCCGTAACATTACCTTCAATAAAGGCAAAACTCATTACAAGATATCTTATAAGTTGAACTCGAAGTCTCAACCTCGCAGAGATTTTAGTCACCGACAACTACAAAGGGTATTTACTGGTTAGCACCCTAGCTCAACATGGATCCTAAGTCGGAGGAAAAATCAGACCCTGAATCTACTCCAAAGTCATATCCATTTCTCAGGTCAGTGCTAATTATAATTTCCTCTTGAGCGTCTGGACCATGCTAACAATAAATAGTAATGTCGGCATCGAGACGGTCGATCTATACATCGGTCCAACTCGTACGCATTATCGAGTGCACAAGAATATTCTCTGTACCAAGATACCATACTTCAATAAAATGTTCAACGGCGGTTTCTCAGAGGCTTCAAACAACTCCGCAGAATTTCCCGAAGATTCTCCTCAGTCGTTTGATGTATTACTTGAATGGCGTATTCTCAGTATCACCCACTCCGACCTTTGAATCGTGTTTCGCCCGGCTCTGTATCTTCAAATTGGAACACCATCGATTTTTACCTACTTATGGATAAACTATGCATACCAGACCTGATGAATGAGGCAATGGATCTCTTGCGACAGTTTTCTAAAGACAATGACTTTCTACCCTCAATTAACCACGTAATCTGGGTTTACAGAAGATCGTTGCCGGGCTCAAAAATACGTTTATATGTATTAAACAGCTTACTCTATGCCTTTTCCTTGAACCAGGAGCCCGATCTCACACCGATGACCCTTTTGATGGGTATAGTAACAAGAGAGACTGATCTGGCTGCCGATTTCCTCACAGCCGTTCGAGGTCAAATCCGTGGGGGCCCAAAGCCAACCAATCCATCAGCAGGTGATGGTGGCATTTATCATATTCATGGAGAAGGAATCGGCTGCAGCTGTTCGTTGAATTAGAGAAGATGCGGCTGTTCGAAGAGTCTCCAGCCTTCTAGAGTGGAGATAGTGTTTATGGATCTTTTGACGGGCGGAAATGAGAGTGGCTGCAATGACATAGGATCCTAGCACCATTGCCTAGATTTATATTGTCAATTTTTATTCTGAGTTACAAGACTGTTTCTCAAATCTAGAAGCTTTAACATGTGATATATACTGGGTGAACCTATCAATTACCGTTCTCTTCCAAATGTTGTTTCGAGGATGGTGTTGAGGCGAGAAAATAGTTCATGACTTTTGGTGAATGCATACACCATTACCAAGTACACTTCCGAAAAAGTTTCTTTCTCCAAAACATTATTTCCAGACTTTGATTAGAGAGTGGATGATTCAATGTAGTTTCTACTCTAGCTTTCGTAATTAATCTTCTAGTAATCCGTCAACTCAAAACTTAAAGACCTCGTTTTGAAGCAGATGATAAAATTCCAAATGTGTTTATAATCCACACCTTTAAGTACTTGAGAATTCATGAGTTTCTTAGGCTAAATATATGACCTTATTCCTCCTTAAACTGATCGAGTCTTTGAATCCTTCCTGAGCTCCCACAGTGATGTACTTGTATGGCTACAGTCATCGTCAAATATTTGAACATCACGCAAAGATTACAACTTCTACAATAACGAAACGATGAATCGGGAGCTTGGATGTATGACACACCAAAAGGCAGTTTATACACGTTACATGATACATATCTCATTTACACTAGTGGACATGAATCTTCATTATACATAGAAGACTATCTCAGACATCAGGTTCTTCCAATAGTGCTTCTACCTTATCGCGTGAAATGATGCCACCTGATATTTAAACACCAAATTCATGGCATAGCATTCGTCCATCTTCCGATTCCTATTTTCTTCGGGAATGACCTTGCACTCTATTGTGGAATCATGTTTCATAGTCGAATATTTTTGTAAGTTGTACGTGTTAAACATCTCGAATATTCTCTAGACCATTGTTCTGAAACTCGACAAAGAACGTTGAGACAGAAAAACATCTTTTTATGGTATCTCGATAGCTTGTTGTAGTTTCCATCTTTTCAATCAATAATTATCCTGTTTTGAACTAATCTCGAAGTGTGCTAATTGTAGAGAGATTGAATAGGTGAGAAGGAAGACAAGTTGGTATCCAGAATGTCGTTCTTGAAGTGAGTACAGTGTCCCTGCATCGTACAGACGTTTAGTCGCTTGGTAGCGTAAGAATATTTTGCTGAGTTAAGACTAGGAAAGCGGGGACTCATATGGTAGATATCAGAGTCGGGAAAGAATTGACGTTGTTCCGGATTCATAAAGAACTTCTATGTACACGCGTACCCTTCTTTGATAAGATGTTCAATAGTGGATTTCCGAAAACGCCACAAATAGTGCAGTACTCCGAGAAGATAACACAGTAGCTTTCGACGTGTTGGTAGGTTGGGTCTACACGAACAGATTACCACCAGATGGCAGCTTCTGGAATCCGGTCGAGGTTTATATTCTAGCTGATAAGATTTGTCTTACTGAACTCATGGATGAAGTCATGGATGTAATCCAGACCGATTTTCCACTTAGCTCACCGGATGCTTTAGTTATTTACAGCAGACTACCGAAAGGTTCCAAGCTTCGTCTATTTGCGCTCGATATAATAACTTTCGAATTTAACACTCTCAGACAGCTCAATTTACCCATACTCGCAGATGTAAACGCAAAGAACGAGGAGTTTGCATTAGACTTTCTGACCAGAATCCGAAGTTATGTTGGCCGTCGGACGGTTATTTCCGATCCAAGCAAGAGCTATCGCTGTACGTACCACTCCCACGAAGATGGAAAGTGCACGAGCACAAGAAAATAGAAAGCTTCAGATGTGAAAAAATTATTGCAAGGCAATGTTTAACGTATCACTAATTCCTGATGGATCTCAAGAAAAGTTTCGCCGATGCAAAGAGAACTCAGAACTCCGGAACATTCCTCGTATAAATACTAAATGGGAAATGAATATGGTTTCTCAATGAGACTTAGCGGTCAAAGAGGGGGGGGGGGGGGGGGGGGGGGGGGGGGGTAATTCTCACAATTCATGCTATTACAAAATCACATTACATCCTACCCATGCCAAAAATTTGTGTGAACATCTCAAACATTTCATAGCTCGCGAGTATTTTTCAATGTATCATCTTGCTTTATCTCCCTTTATAAGAACCAAAAGTCTCAGTAGTCTATCTGTATCGTGTACCTACTTTGATTGACTCATCCTTTCTAGATTATTACAAACAAAGAAATCGGTGCATCATGTGTCTCCTGAATTACGCGATTACGGCTTACATAATCTCCATAAATTTCAGAATGTCTGCGTCAAATGAATTGTGTGAAGCCAATATACAAAAGCTGTAATTGTTGTTTTTGAAAGAGGCATTGATTTGTTGTCAAAAATAACTTGAGTGTTGAAATTAGACTCAATCGATTTGAGCAAATACGGAAATGCTTGAAAGACACATGGAAATAGCAGTCATAACTTGATCTGATATCGACATCTTTTTGTGTGCGTCATGCTTTCAATTTCCTGGTTACTCCTCTCAAAGTGCCGTGATACTGATAGGCAATCGTCTTCTACATCAACTTGCCTTCATCCACGGCGTCATATCTTGGGCACTACTCATACTGTGTCTGCATCGGTTCAAAATGACTTTAACCATAAACAGATATTATACATGCTGGTATATACTAAGAAAATTACAGGATGAATTTTGAAGTCCATGCTCAAATAACATGATTAACGACAACGAATACTTGTTTTTCGCAGAGTTTTGAAATGTTTGGGCAGTAAAAATTATCATAACTGCAACCATCGGTATGACCTTTAAGCTTGACATCATTATTATGACTACAAAAAATAGAAACAGCCTATGTATTATGTAGTACTGCCAATCAAGGTTCAGATACATGCTTCTAAGATTTTCGTCGGATGAAAATTTGTGGTCTCTGAAGCTGTGAATCCGCGCAACGGTCGTAAACTCGAAATACAATACTGTGAAAGGGTCATCGGGATCAATTTTTTCGTATTGCAATTCTCACTTGCTGTTTTACGCTCGCAGACTTGGCCAATTATATAGACGTTCCGGGCCGCTAGTAGCTTAAGTGTATACAGATTATTAAGACAGATCCCCATTCCATGGATAGGCTTGCATGTAATTTCAAGACCAAAATCAATTGACAACTCTATATATCTCTACAAAGAGCACTAATTCTCAACCCACGGAGATTTGTCAGAGATAATGTTGGAGAGAGGACCAAGGGTGGAAGAGCTGTCTCGGAATTGACAAGGAAGGTTCGGTAGGGATTGATCTTCTACGATTACGGTCAGTTTGTTATTCCCTTTTGACAAATTGAGCATATGTTCTTAAAGAGATGACAGCAACAAAAACACAAATGAAATCTAAATCGACAACTATACCAAAGATAGATATATAGATAGCAACATCAGATTACGTGAGCGCCTGGTCCACATCCATACCTTCAAAGATTCTTGTTGCTCGCGTAGAAAACTTCTGAGTGTCTTGAATCCCCGAATGGGATGTTCTCTGTTGAAAGGCTTTGGTAAGATCCGGACTTACTTACTAGTCTTGTCTTTTATATTGCGAAAGTGCTTTACACCTAAAAGAGGGCTAGTCTGAAAAATTAATCAAGAAAAGCATAAGTGAATCTCGCTATAAGGGATAATCAGACGGTTTTAACTTCCATAGAGCCATGAGAATTTTATAGATAAATAGTAGTTGCATATCAGATTGCGTCGAGTTTTCTCATGCCCCCCTATCTCCCTTGAAGGTCCATGATGGTTGTGTTACCAAATATCTTACCTGCTATCGTCAAAACAATACAGAAACTGGTATTCACAATAAAAGTTTTGGCGACAGTAACAATGAATAGAAAAAAAACCATATCAATGACAACAGATGAGAAAAACACTTCCATAATTTGTGAACTTGCTATGTGCCATACACCTAAACAAAAACCCTGCCATCATATTTTGTGCTTGATTTCGTTTTTAAAAATCCTAGGTAGTGAGTTAATACATAAGCTTTCTGAACAATTTCAAAAAAACTAGCCGTAGCAGACTTCACGTGTTCATCTGCACAATTGAAAATTTGATGTGACTGGCTTGATATCGCAGTGAAAGAAACTCTTATCACCCAATCACGCCGGGTCTCCATTTCAAACTTGTCGCTCATCCCTTCGAGATGATAATTATGTAAATAGCCACCGAAAATGCCACCTTACACTTGAAACTTAGTCATTGAAAGACGGTACGCTAGAGATCTCGGCTTGGTTTTGAGGCATAACTTCTCCAGGCTAACTTGTTTGTATCTATTTCAAAGTCATGTTTCTGCCTCGTTTGAAACTATCGTGTCGAGACTTTTCCGGTATCTTTTTGTATGCTTCACAAGAACAAAGCGGTTCTCCTCTACTCGAGAATTGATGTGTTTACGACTGGCACATGATCACGTGATTATTTTGAACTGCATGATTTGGAGTCCTTGCTGGGGTAGATGAAGGGGTAGGCGAAGCACATGCTCTCTCCTCCACAATGGATGCGAAAAATGAAAAGTTATGAAAAGTTATTCGAATCTGAAGGTAGCATTTAGCCATGTTTGCAGCTCATACGCTAATGTAAGAGCGCGGCGTTTGTTGGTAATATCTTGTTGCACTGTTAGAAACTAGGGTAAGGAAAATGCGGCACAGTAACAAGACTTATTAAAACTCCATTTTTGATCCGCCCTATGTCTTTGCAAATACAACCACGACAGCAAGAACCAAGCTCTAGCTTTTGTAGACTAGTTTCACAGTTTCTTGTCAACTTGTATCTTTCAGTCGTGCGAAATACAAAGCACCCTCACGGAGCTGTGTCTATAACCCGAGACTGTTTTTTGGATCTTCCTTTTTGAATCCTCGAAATTATTCACCATGTGGTGGCCATTTAGTAAGAAGTACCCGTAGCGGCACCCGAAATGTGCGGATGGCCAGGCCTACGACTATATTGTGATTGGAGGTATCTTCACTTGTTCACTTACAATCCATCTTTTCGTATCATGCTTTTCTGGATCTTGACTGACACAATGCTCTCAAACCGAAAGGTGGTACAGCTGGTTGTGTCCTGACTTCACGATTAAGTGAGGATCCAAATGTGTCTGTCCTGCTTCTTGAGCGCGGGCCTGCCAACGATAACTTCATGTCCCGCATACCCATTGTTTCATCGAACATCTTACGCTCTGATGGCGGTGCCTCCAGCTGGAAATGCGAGCCTATGAAGTATTGTGACAATCGCCGAAGCTTGGCATTCTGCGGAGAAGTTATGGGTGGAGGCTCTAGAATCAACAGTATGGTTTACACACGTGGCACTGCTGCAGACTATGATTACTGGGCACAGCTTGGTCATCCGGATTGGAGTTATGACAAGCTCTTGCCTTATTTCATGAAAAGCGAAACTGTGATGGGCTCACAAAAGTCGGAGTATCGTGGGACTTCTGGTGTGTAATTTTAACCAAGATTACTCAAGTAGTTTTGAGAGCTGATGGCAGTGTAGGTCCATGGATTATCCGGACATTTCCTTTTCATACTTGGGGATTCGGCGCATATCGGCTGTAAGTATATCTCGATACCTACAGTGCCTAGGTTGCGTTTGTGTGGGTCGTCAAGGCTTACTTTTGCTAGCTTTTCAAATGCCGCTAAAGCTCTAGGCTTTATTCAGATTGACGATCCAAACACACCTGACGCCATGGTTGATGGAGTTACAACAGTATACTCTACAGTAAACGAGCAGAGGCAGAGAGTATCTACCTTTGACGCTTTTCTTCCTCGAGATATAGCCTTGGAACGAGAAAAACATTTGACAATCTGCACTAACACGATTTTATCAAGAATTGCCTTCTCGAAAGAAGACGGAGTTCCGCGTCCCGATATGGTCTTCTTCAAACTTGCTAATTCGAAATCTGACAAAACATACTCGGCTAAAGTCAAAAGAGAAGTGACTGTTTGTTCGGGCGCTCTGGGCTCACCCCAAGTTTTAATGTTGAGGTAATCCACCATTTCTCGGGTTTCAAACATTCATCAAATGGTAAGACATGCTAACAGTGAAACTTAACAGTGGAATAGGACCCCAGAAACATCTAGAAGAGCATGGAATCAGTGTTGTGAAGGATCTGCCAGGTGTTGGATCGGGACTGGTACGGAGCGAACCCCCAAATCATGCCCGACAAGAGGATCAATCATGCTGACTTTTCAATAGAGTGATCATCACAGTATTCCAATTGCATGGAAAGTTCCAGTCAAGGAATCACTCACTAGACTGGTGATCCATCCAATGCTAGGCGTACTGGAATTCTTCAAATACATATTTTTCCGTTCCGGCATTCTCAGCATGCCCATTAATAATATAACTCTATTCGTTCGATCCTCAGCACTCAACCAGGACTATGCTGGAATTGACAATGAAAAGCTTGCCACAGCAAGTAGTCAGATTCAGGATTTGATTCCAGACATTGAGCTCATGCCTCTTGCTGTCACCGCTATGGATGATTTAGAGGAGCACCAACGTTTGTTTTCCAAAATGGGCATGTTCTCTATCTTGGCCACTCTCGCGAAACCAAAATCTCGTGGGACCGTTCGTCTTGCGTCTTCAGACCCCCACCAGAGACCCAAAGTCGATTTTGGCATCCTGTCAAATCCTGAAGACTATGTTGTTGCCCGAGCCTCTGTACGACTTTCCTTGGAACTTGCAGTGACTATGAGGGCTTCTGGTTTCCCGCTACAAGAGAACATTACTTTTCCAGAAGATAAACAGGCCATAGATGCGAAGAATAACAATGACGAAGAAATCGATAAATTCATCAGGCGTAGGATCAGGACGATATATCACTATTCTTCTAGCTGCAGAATGGCTCCTGCGGATGATGCTGAATCCCCCGGTGTAGTAGACGATCAGTTGAAGGTCCATGGTGTGAAAGGTTTAAGAGTCTGTGATACCAGCATATTCCCACAGATTATTTCACATCATTTACAAGCACCGGCTGTAATGGTGGCAGAAAAGTGTGCTGATATGATCAAGACTCATGGTTGACTAAAATCCTGTCAGAAACTCGGATGTCAAAAAGAGTATTTGGTCAGGAGTTTCGGGATTTGAGGGTTTTCTACCGAGAGATTATGTTTCTTCTAGAAAATGGCTTCGAATCGCTTCCTGAACAATCCCTTGAAATTTTGTTGATTACGATGGAACAGGAAATCATGTTCGCTCACATCTGGTAGTATTCATAAGAAAGAAAGAGACCTTGCTCAACAAAGATTTCATTCTATTAACTTAGCCCCTCAATGTCAATGACTCAGTAATTTCAGTGGCCTTCAACAGTCCATTGAAAGATCTATATGTCAATGAATTTTTTTAATAGCACGACTTCAAATCTATGTAGAGTTATTATTTCCTAAAAGTAATGTAAGATCTCATATATCGACCGATAGATCATTCCACTAGCTAGAACCTTCGTGATGGTATGGATCCACGAGGCGCCGGCCCACACAACCGACCATTACTAGTTTTCCTCCCTACCAATTCTTCCAGCGGCATCATATCAAGATCCGCCTGCATACTAGCAGTAGGCATCCGTCTCCTATATCTATAAACAAGAAACGTAATGAAGCCAGCTACTACACATATAACCACCAAACTCCCTACAATAGTTCCTGCCACGATAGCTGCTTCGGGGACGACACTCATATCACTGATTTCATTATGATAGGCCTTGGAATGACAATTGGATGATGGCTTTTGGAAAAATGTGCTTGAGACTTGTACGGGTGCGCCGTCGAATCCAAGAGATGAGCGATTTCCGGTGCTTGGTGCGGTTAACGATGGCATTGTCGGTGTATTCGTAGCATATGTAACAATACCGTCCGCACCAAGATATCTGGGAAGGTGACCGACTGTTGTTTGTCCTTTATACGCCAAATTTATATCGGATCTTCCATATGGTTCATGTCCCTGACATGCAAGGATTGAATAATTTCCTTCGGGCCCGACACGAGGAGTTGCGCAATAGGGAATATCGGAGCCACTTTACAAAATATCAGAGTAGGGTCCGAAGAGAATTGTAGCAAAAACATACCAACGAACGATACTCGGATTCGCAAAGCAAGAGCTATCACAATAACTAAGTGCCTTGTAGGGAATGCAAGAGGTGAAATAATCCATCGACGTCATATGTCCACATCCCACTAATTTAAGAGAAGAATCCCAAAAGCAGGTTGCGGAACCCCCACATGTGTAGGAATTATCTAACTTTGATTAACATTGTTGCACAAGATTAATGAGTATTCAGCACAACCAGGGTTGTGATCTACCCACCCACAGATATTTGGTGACTCGTAGGTATGATTGTTGCTGGGAAACGACGCTGTAATTAAAGAAGGCTTTGGTGTTTGAATCGGTAGCGAAGACGTAGTCTGATTTGCGATCGATGTTGAAGGAGCTGCCTCCCAAGAAATTGCATTAACTTGGATAATATGTAAAAGCACAGCCAAAAAGCCTAATCTGGCCATGGTAGTCGTACATGAAAGCAATATGACGTTGAAGAGGATGCTCTTCGTAGCCGGATACGAACAACATTGAGTTCTCGAATCTGACACGAGATCTTCCTTCATAGACAAAGCCAAACTCGGTAAGAAAGCATGTGGATGTGAGATGTTAAATAGAAATCAATTGTCGAAGGGTCGGAAACATTCCAGCTAGGAAATTACTATTCGTGGCGTATTGATACAAAACGAGCCACCTCCGCCTTGCATCACAGTAAAGCTCCGATATCAGGACCATGTATAATGCTTTGTGAGTCACTATTTGCTTTTTCTTGAAGCTTGAGGCGCTTGTCTCAAATTTACACGAGACAATGATCTGATTGATCAATTATTCCTCATTTATGGCGGTGTATCTGAATATCTAGCTCCTTTTCATTTTGGTAATCTCAAAACATTTGCTAGTTGAGTATCAAAATCATCCCACAACTCCGTGAACGCCTTGGCAATGTACATTAAATCATTCATTACAATGGAGCTGCAGCAGCATCCGATTCAGCTATCGGTACCTCAGCAACAGCTTGAGCTGTCTCTACAGCATGGAATCCATCAAGAGTTACCTTCACAGCACCTGCTTGAACGAGCTGGGTAGAGTTAGCATTATTACGTGGACCTTTTCGATGTGTACTTACAGCACGGCTCAAATCGTCAATTAAATCATTCACGTCCTCAATTCCAACACACAGTCTAATGATATCTTCTGGCATCTGTCTTTCCTTTCTGGTCTTTGCATCAATACTGGCATGACTCATTTGGCATGGCATACTGATCAGACTGTTGACACAACCAAAACTGACACTAATGCCCCATAACTTTGCTGCCTCAACAATTCTCTCAGAGAGAGCAACATCGCCTGTTTCAAAGGATAACACAGCTCCAGCTCCACGAGCCATGGACCAGTGAAGATCATATTGAGGATGGGATTTCAAGCCAGGGTACCTTACACGGAAACCATGTGTTTCAAGGAATTCAGCAATTGCTTGGGCGTTTGTTTGTTGTCGTTCCATACGGATTGCCAAAGTTTTTATTCCCCTCATAAGTAAGAATGAATCGTTTGGTGAGAGCCCGCAACCAGTAGAATTAATTGTGAAGTACATCTTATCTCCAATGGCGGGGTCATTGAAAGCTAGAACACCAGCCATGATATCGTGATGCCCAGAGAGATATTTTGTGCCTGACTCATAGACTATATCTGCGCCAAGATCCAAGGGATTGCATAGCATGGGAGAAAGCATAGTATTGTCAACAACAACTAAAGCTTTCTCATTCAATTCGTGTGCTGTCCTTGCAATTGTCGCAATATCGACAATTTTTATCAAAGGATTGGTTGGTGTCTCGAGCAAAACCATGGCTGTTTTAGGACCCAGAACTGCTTTGACTTTATCGGGAGTAGTCGTATCGACGTGGTGTACGATTATGCCAGTATTCGCAGCCAAGTATGTCAACAATCGATTGGTACCTCCGTATAAATCATCTCCTGTAATGACTTCGTCTCCAGGTCGTAAAACTCGTGTAATAACATCTAATGCTCCCATGCCAGAACCAACGACGAGGGCACGGTTAGCGTTCATAATCTTCGCGAGATGTCGTTCCAGGTGTGTTCTTGTAGGATTTCCGGAACGTGTATAATCGTATTCTGATCCGCCACCGGCCAAATTTTGTTTGAATGTGGCAGATTGATATATCGGCATGCTTGAAGCTCCATACTGATCCTTAGTCTCGGTGTAAACTAATTCGGTGGCCAAGGCATATCTTCTGCCATTGTGAGGACTAGATGGTGCAGGCGAGGGAGGAAGGTTGTGACCATCAAGGTCAATGTGCGGGAATGCTTTGTTGAGGGCGCCATTGGCTTTGCCAGCTCCAGATGCTTGTGAGGAGCCGGATGGTGAAGACATATTGATATTGGTATTGTGTTTCAAGGTCGTGTGAGATTGCAGAAGCGGGGAAATTCCAATTGAAGCAGCAATGATTTAAGAGGATGAAAGATGATGAATCAAACTTGGACTTGAGATTGAAGGCTGGTATAATATATCAATTCCTTATAAGTTGAACAAATAATTATGGTCGGTGAGAGTATATGAGAAAGTATTGATTTTGTTTGTAAGACTCAGAAATTTGGTTCCCCAGATATAACTTTGTAGGGAGAATTCCGTAGCGCCGTAAATCGGACTCTGACTCTGAAGATGTGGGGTTGTTTGACGCTAAAAATGACGTGCTCACTTATCACGATTCGCCTCAAGAGAGGGATGATTGTAAGCATTCACATAGAGAGGGGTATAACAATAACAATGATGAATAGGAGGTGAACGAGCGAGGTGAAGAATCAGCATCATTTCGATGCAGCTCAAAAAGTAGATGATTTTAATCCATGAAGGTAAGAATTGGTGAAGCTTGGTAATTTAGATCATGAAATATATTTTCATTGAATCATGGAAAGAAAGGAAGTTTTGCTTTCTTTGTTTCTATATCATTACAAACCCCCAAACGCCGTGCATAGCTACCTAGTATAATACAACGCGATTGTACTCAGATGACCAGATATACGTGATAAATTCGTTAATCCATTGATTCAGCAACGCTCTCTTCAACATCTTCATAACCATCACTAGAAGTCGTGCCTCTTGTTGTTGATGTAGTTTCCGCAGCTATGTGTCGTGCATGATTGTCCTTGATAATTTGGCCGCCCCCTTTTCTACCGAAAAAATCCTCTGTCCGTACACCTCGAACATTCGAATGGTCAACGCCACTCATGGACATGCCTCTTTCCCTCTGTTCTCTGATGAATTCTCGAACTGGAACCATAGCTGCATCTCTACATGCTTCCTTGATATCACTTCCTGACATACCAGCCATAACTCTTGTAAGGTATTCAATATCGAAGTTATCTGGATCGGTTTTTGTATCTTTAAGGATCAAATTCAGGATACGTCTTCTTTGCGAGTTCGAGGGTAATGAAACAGGAAATTTCTTGGGCATTCTTCGTAAGATTGCCTCGTCAATATCTTGAATTCGATTTGTAGCACCTAGAATCATAATTCTAGCTGGTAATCCGCTCTTATTCGATGAAGTGAGACCATCCCAGAGTGTCATAAATCTGAAATCGTTAGCTAGAATTATGAAATATCCGCATAATTTTACTCACTCTGCTTTGACCATACCACTGGCTTCATGTTCACCACTTCGTCTTTGTCCCAACACTGCATCTATTTCATCGATAAACACGATACTGGGTTGCAACTTTCTGGCCAATGAAAATACTGCGCGGACCAGCTTATTTGAATCACCATACCACTTTTCTGTCAAAGTCGAGATATGTAGATTGATAAAACAAGCTCCACTTTCATGCGCCAAAGCCTTTGCCAACATAGTTTTGCCGCATCCTGGAGGACCATATAATAATACACCAGAAGGTGCAGATAAAAGAGGGGATGAATGCGAGTATAAATGAGGCATTGTGAGAGGATATATAACGGATTCTTTCAATTCTTCGATAATGTCGTCCAAACCACCGATGTCTGTATAAAATTAGCACCTTTGTATTACTTTTTAGTACAGATTACTCACCATCAAAACCGACAGGAATGTCCTCTGGAGCTACAACTTCCATGGCAATCTGGTTTTCATATTGATCGAGGATCAAGTCCTCTTTGCGAGGACGGCGAGACTTTCCTCTCCCCGAGACTGTTTCCTCTGAATCTGAATCTTCATCACTACCCCTTCTATTTAATCTTCGCAGGTTCGCCGCGGCTTTTAGTCTTGCTTCTTCGTGTTGTTCCTTCTCAGCATCGTTCTGAAAAGGTAGAGCCGGTATTAAACTCTTTGCGACGTAGTAAAAAGAGGCAGTCTATGAATGACAGCCAGATTAGTCGTTGTAAAGCAAATTGTGGAGGTATTCCTGGCATACTCACAGAAACAACGATCAATAATAGATCTTGTAAGAGACCATACTTCCTACTATTACCATCCCCCATCATGATGCGCAAAGCTCAGAGACAGTATATGCCACCTAGTCGCAGCTTTCCGATGCTTCAAAAATGGAGTTTTAAGATCAAAGTATACTAGAAACGCGATTTTGTAGTTGTCCGTTTAAGAACTGAATAGCTGACTTGAGATCGCGGCGGTTTGCTTGTGCTGTGGCGTTTGTTCGGTGTCTAATGTGGCTGAAAAAATGTAAAGGCTTTGACACGTGCTCTGTTCACGGATCTGCAAGGATAAAATCCGATGAGCCACAGAAGCCACTCGTCTAACTTTGTTTACTTTGGCAAGAGGTTTCCCCTCGATTTTGGATGGAACTACCCCGTTGCCTCAACATTTGCACTTATTAAATCTACTCATTTGAGTTCTCTACTGTCGCAAATCAGATCACACCGGCGAATCGAACTCTGCCAACTTAAGACGATTTTAACAATTATACAGCCTCACCGCTAAAATCGCGTTACTCATTCAATCATCTCGCGTCTCAATCCAAGCGCATTGTTTACATTAAATGTCGAAGTTCAAGAACTCAACACTTGCAGGACTGATAGGATCAGACTCAGAGGATGACCACTTGGTAGAGCGCACAATGTCGAAACAACAATTAAAAGATAATACAGCTGCGAAGAAAGCACGAGGAAGACCTAAGACTGCTCCATCAAAAGTTACAAAAATAAAATCCCCAGCGCGTCGCACGAGTGGAAGAATCAATGGGAAGCCAACACCTGAATCATCATCCCAGGCAAAAAGAGGAAGAAAGAATGTTCAGGCAGCCAAAATTAATCGACAGAAGGATACTGGGAAGGAGGCCGAGCAAATTGATGAGACAGAAGATATCACTATGGAGGATGTAGCTTCGGGTGATGAATTAGATGGTGAGGTTACTGCGCCGAAGCAAGTTGAAGCAAAAGCTACGAAAAAACCAGCTGCGACTCGAGGTAGAGCCACTAAAACAGTGGTTCCCGAACCAGAAATCGCAGAAGAAATCGCAGAAGAAATCGTAGCACCCGTGGGCAAAAAGGGTAGGCCTGGAAGAAAAGGCAAAGCAAAGGTACAAGAGGAGCCTGTTGTAGAACAAGGGTCACCTGAAAAGGTTATTCAAGAAACTCAAGCACAAGAAACAGAAGTGGAAATGGATGAAGATATCGAAGAATTGGAACAAGAAGATAGCATACCTGAGGTGAAAAGGAAAGGATCTCGCTCGCACAACGACTCACGGCGACGACAGATGTCCGTTTCGCGGCACCGAGCAGGCAGTGCTTCGGATACAGAGAGGAATGAGCCAGCTGTCAGACGCAGGCTTGGCGAACTTTCAAAGAAACTTGAGCATGTGGAGGTAAAATACCAAGATCTACGAGAGGTCGGGGTCAAGGAAGCAGAGAAAACTTTTGACCGATACAAAAAGGCAGCGGAGGAAAAAACAAAGGGTAAGGAACTCTTAAACTCAGGCAATCGGGTCAGGCACTAACCTTGAGTAGTATCGAATGAGCTTATCGCTTCTTTGAAAGCCAATCTAGCAACTCAAACTTCTTTGGCAAAAGAAGCACGAAGTTTGAAGAAAACAATTGAATCGCAAGACGCATTAGTTACGAATTTACAAGCCCAGATCCATCAATTGGAATTGTCGTTATCAGAAGCACAGGTAGAAAACAAGACATTGTCTACCAAGCTTGCAGCAAATCGTAAGATAACCGCATCATACGAAAGCGCAAATAACAAGGTTCCAGGCAGTGCTATCAAAGCCAATGGTGGTATGCGTATTATTGGAAGTCAAGAAGCAGCTCAAGCCGCACAAGCCGCTCAATTGAAAGAAGATCTATACAGTGATTTAACCGGACTTATTATACGTGGTGTCAAACGAGAAACCGAAGAAGATGTCTTTGATTGTATTCAGACAGGTCGTAATGGTAGTAAGTTGTCCTATTTCTTGCTAATATAATGACTCTATACTGACTTTAACACTAGCTCTTCACTTCAAATTAGGTGTTGAGAGCGAGAAAATGGCAGATGGTGATCCAGATTGTCGATATACGCCACTTTTAGATCCAAGCAGAGATAAACCCTTACTGGATCTATTACCAGACTATTTTGTTGATGAGATAGAATTTCCAAGGCCACAAGCTGCGAGATTTTACGCACGAATCACGAGAGCACTTACGGAGAAACCTGCAAGTATGGGTGGACCTGTCGAGGAAAGTGATGAGTAGAAAATTTGTCTTGGACGTTAATTTGGTGGGTATCTTTGGAAGGGAAAGATTTCGGTGTTTGGAAGCGAAGGTTACATCTATTGAGTGTTTTGAGAGCAACAGTTTTTATGAATTGATACCTGTCTATATGATACCCGTACGTTTGTTAGTTATCCTTCCAATATGAGTTGGTTGCAATCTATATGCAATTATTTTACTGTCTGCGCAGAAGGCGCCATTGTTTCAATCTTGATGTCAAGTTTTATGCTGGCGAAGTCAATATTACATGTAATTTGTACTTTTGTAGGATGCAATGAACAACTGCGCCGCCTTCTTATGACAATATCAGGCTACTCTGTTTGCTACATTACTTACGTCTTTGAGAGATCTCTGGCTGACTGAGAGCTAGTAGATTAGCATTCAGTCGTCTCTTTTCAGAACTCGAAACTAAACATGTATACGACTAGTTCGCCTTAACTAGATTTTACCGAATTAGCAAGCTGTACTTACTCTGATATTATCAAATTGAATACACACATACATACCCGCCTTCTGAGCTAGACTCTAGTCTGACCCCTCCAAAAATTTGTCAAATAGTTCGGTTGTAATCAATCCGAATCAAATTCTTCCGACTTCGAATTTTCGAATACTCGAGACATTAGGCTACTGCCTAGGTATTATTGTTCTCAATAGATCCAGACATTCAATACGAATCCAATACTCGAACTCATCTAACAATTGAAAATCATTTATCACCAAACAATGGTTTTCTTCCAATGCTGCAAGATCAATTCAGAAGTATCTCATTACTCGTGTAATTGTCTGCTCATAGAGTGATTCCCAATATCTGTGTATAGACTATGTATTAACAAAATTGCTAAAAATCTCAGATAGGAAGGAACGAGTCAGGAGTGTAAAATGCTGTGAGCAATTCCCTTACAGTTGCAATCTCGAAAGCTGTATCACATTGCTTGTGACTAACTTACAGGAAGACGAGGTCAATGAGATGTGGGTAGCTATTCCAATACCCAGAGAGCCAGGCTCTGAATACTGTGTGAATTTGTCTGATCAGAGAAACCAATATGAATTGATACACGGCGCCGCTGGTATCCAATCAGGCCGCTTAGCTCAGTTGGTTAGAGCGTGGTGCTAATATCTGTTCCAATCTTTCAGATGGGTTTGGCACGCCAAGGTCGGCGGTTCGAGACCGCCAGTGGTCAGCTTTTACATTTTGGGTGAGGGTTTGAGATTGATGGTATGCTCTCCAGTTTCCCGTCTCTCGCGACTTTGCAGAAAATTCATGCAGTTGTGTTTTGACAAGTGGATGAATCATTCTTTTGTCAGAGAAGTGAGTGAGAAGTTTTCAAACTTTTCGGTAGGTCCAATTTTCACATTACTCCACAAGTCCGGAGGCACTCTTAAGGCCCTCCCTTTTCGGCCACGTATTCTCGCTATGGAATTTATCGGTTTCCGGGTTAAGAGACTGATCAGAGAGGTAATTTCTACCAGTCTTACCTGGCCTATGAACATTCGAATTTTTGGGTAAAATCACGAAAGAAAAAGAAGGTTAAATGGAATTCGATGTTTTTCTTAGTGTGCATAGGTGGATCGCATCTGCAACCCCGAGAACCCTTATTTAGGTAGGTAGGCATCATTAGTCATTCGTTCGTGTACCCCACCAGGACAAAAGAAAAATGTCAAAACTTCGAACGACAGTGGTTCCAACCAGAATACTCAATATCAAAACGTTAACAAGGTAGCAAAAATGGAGGGCCGAACCGGGGTTCGAACCCGGGATCTGTCATATTCTATCACGAGTATACGTGGGGAGAGTATCCCGAAACAACAATCCTACCACTGGACCATTCGGCCTAATCCTAATTGACGTTTGATGTGGCTGTTATTTCAGCATATGAACGTGTGGAGCATATCAGCAGCGTTCCGGCGATTCGGTTGCGTAACAGGAACTTTAGTCCTGAGGTTATAGGCATGAGAAATGCCGATACACTGACTGCCTCTCGAGTGGGTCATCTTTGATATTCACTCTAAATTTGACCTCTCATTCAGATTGTATCAAATTCGAGACCTGTGGAAAACAGAAGCAAATGTACTGCATACCACAACTTTAGGTTATGAAAATTATTCCTTCACTTTTTACAAATACGAAAAATCTTAATTTGATTTCGCCGTTTCGCTTATTTTGGGTCTGGTGAAGGGGCTCCACATGATTGTAATGAATTGCACGCCAAAATAATATCCCAGGCATTTGAATATCAAATTGAATTGTATTACTCGAAGAACTTGATTGTCTAACCTGAATTTGAACGCGAGAAGAATTTAATTAGTCAATTGTGGTTTGGATGTTAGGAGAACTTTGTTATTCATTTTGAAATGAATCCCAGAAGAACTTAATTTTAACTCTGAATTATTGAAGTGGTTTCGTAGGCATTTAGCCCGTTCGTCGGCCGGAACAGCTCTGTCCTAGCGTCCGCACATTACTTATTCAATCAGAAGAGGTTTGATAATCGAATACTTTGAAAATAGTATACTACGGTTAGAGATATTCTGTTTTTATAATGTGAATCGGTTTCATTTCGTTCTTTGGATTCATAAATTAACACTTATTTTAGGATGAAATCATCTGAGATTACTTCTACGAAATCATTATTACTAGATTGCGCGCTACTTTAGTTAGCTACTTTAGTCATCAAAAGAGATTTACATGCCTTCGATTTAGATCTTTTTATGATAGAATATATCCTACTTACAATACATTCTACGCTCTCAATTAACGTACTTTCTTCATTCAATCTACTCAATATAGTAATCTAGTCTCCTGCTCTAACTTCCTTAATTATTTATATTAATAAAGGTTCAGATACTTAATAACTCCATCATATTCTACCAATCGACCACTTCCGATAAAGGTCGATACCCTAATCATACCATTCAGAGCCGCCCCTCTCAGTATTGACAAAACATTGGAATATTTCTCTTTCTTGTATAACGCCACCTCAAGTAAACAAAAAACTGCTCTACCAATCTGAAGGAGTCGCTCATCTTGCTCAAGGGGAAAGAAGATTTGATCGGCCTCTTCAACGCACTGGGTAAAAGCTTGAGAAAGTTCTTGGGAGCGATAGTCTACAGTAACTTGTGCGAGATCAAGAATCTGCGAAACCAAAGGCCTCACTGATAAGCGGTGGTGCTGTATCTCTTCTATCGCAAGCAAGCTGATAATGGAGTTAAGCAAAGCTCTTAGATCCTGAATCTCAACCGGGAATGACTTCAAATTTTCCGCAGCAGTAGGTGTATCACACCGTGCAAGAAATTTTTGCGTCAATTCAAAGCCATCTTCGATGAAAGGCTGGAGTACCAATGCTGCTGGGCTTTCTTTTTGCTTGAAAGCCGAGCGAAGAACTGCAATACCTGTAATTGCGAGACCAATACCTTCGTTGTACTTGTTGTCCTTTAAGCATGCTTGGTAATCTTTCAACATTTGATGGATCGGCTCTTTGACTACATATTCCATATTTTTTTCAATAGCCATAGCCCATTGTATCACCCACTCATTGCTCAAATTCTCCAGCAATGTCTCATTCTTATCAATGGATACTGCTCTCATGATCTCTATCCCAGCCTTTGTACATGTTTCGGCGTTGATTTGATCTTTGTTTGTGACTGCTTCTGAGAACCGCTCCACAAAAGCTCGTATGAACTCTTTTATTGATGCCTTCCCTGCTTCACCCAGGCTCTCGACATCATTAATAGCCTTGATCCAAAGCTTAGAAATAACAAGGGACAGGTGCTTGAACTTCTGGCCGCGCCCAACGGCTGTCAAAAGTAGTTCAGTGCCCACAAGAGCTAGAGCCTCGGCTTTCTTAAATCTTTCATCTGGGCTCAAGTCTGGGTCGATCAAGTGTTGCTTGAGTTCAGCCGCACGCCTCTGAACCACTTTAGTCAACATAAACTGGCCAAAAATAGGATAGGAGACAAGGTTGTTCAATCCATCAATCCACGTATTGGCAGTTAGCCTAATCACAGCTCTATCCTTATTCTCAATGGCATTCTCCAGGATCTTCACTGCAGCTTGAGTCAGTAGATTCAGAACTTGTGGGAAGTGCTTTTCAAAACTGTTTTGGGCCAAATTAGTCGCAGCTCCGCGATAACCGGGAGACGCTTCACTAGCATGCCTCATTGCTGAGGTTGAATCATGATCATCATCTTCGAAATCTTTGCGTGCTAACCCCATACACAAAATGCTAAACAGCCTGTCTCGATGAAAATGTCTGCGGCCAAAGTTTCTTTTTCTCTTGGGTGTATCGGAATCATCGTGGATCTTTGTTGCCAATGTTGTCACGTCTTCGAAGACGTTTTCGGCAAGTTTTGCTAGCCGCTTAAGAAATGTGGTTTCACCCTTTCTGATTTCATTTCCAAAGAGAATAACAAACTGTTCAATGAGCTTGTTGATTGTATCCATACTACTTGCTTGGACAGCGCTTTTGAACAATTTGCGTTGGATTTGTTGCTGATCATGAGCTTTGGAGGCAGATAAGCCAGCGTAGTCTGCAGCATTTGGATCACTGCCCAACAAAAGTTTCATGATTTCATCGTGCCCGCGGTCTGATGCAGCATCATAAGCCGTACCCATTGGACCAGTGGCTTTGCGGACCTTGGCACCTTTTTCTAAGAGCAGACGCACAATATTTGGATAACCATGATATGCTGCTATACGAAGAGCTGGTCCTAGTTCACCGTTTTGGTCATTGATATTCACCCCATGTCTGATCAGTTCCTGAATGATCTCCACGAAAGGGGCTGGGTCCAGGCCGGGGTTAAGCCCCGCAACTGCGGCTGTCACAGGGCTTCCGTATGTTCTATCTGCTACACGAACAGACATTCCTTCTGAGCAAAAGAGCTTAACCAGATTTGAGTGACCATTAAATGCAGCAGCATGCATTGAAGTTCCAAATGGCCCGTCATTTCGAATTTTCCTGAGCTTTCCGCAATATTTAAGTATTGTTTCAGCACAATGGCTACATCCAATAGAGGAAATGAAGTGAAGGGCAGTACCGAAAAGGCTTTTAATCTTCACATCTGCTCCAGCCTCGACGAGAACCCTTATAATAGCCTCATGGTGTTTTCTGCAAGCAGCAATCAAAGCTGTCTCACTGTTTTTGTCTGTGGAGTCGAGTTGAGCTTTTCTTTCTATCAGTAGCTGTATTACTTTCAAATTTCCGTAATAAGCCGCGTAATACAGGGGGCTGCGACCTTCCTTGTCTTTTGCATCGAAGTCAGCGCCATATTCGATCAACTTCTTTGCAGTGCGGCTAGCACCATCAAGATCACTCTCATTCTTTATAGCCCAGTGGATCGGCCTCAACTCGTCAATATCAGATTTATTCGGGTTAAGCCACCCTCTATCTCTCAAAGTATCAAACAGTCTGAAAAGAGCGAAGTAGCTAATGATGTGGATGTAGGTGATGTTTTTGGGTATCTTCTTTCTCAGGTTGAGCATATGTATCTGAAATGATAGCTGCAAATTACCTCTCTCTTCGACTGCTCCGTCCTTGCCAAAAAGTATCTTCAACAGATTGAAAATTCCAGAATGTCTTATTTCTGGGTTGTTTCCATCTTCAGGCACGAAGCTCTTCCCAAGGCTGGTAGCCCAGTTAGAAGATGCGAATGATAGAAATGGCTCCTTCTGAAGGATTTCCTCAAGACTACCCGGGTTGAACCATGTAGCATCATTCGAAAGACCTCGAGGGAGATCCAGTGAGCACAAGTAAGACAAACAGACTCGGGCAATCCTGTGGTTGTATATCTCTGGCTTGTATTTTCTGAAGAATTCAAAGACAGTTTCATGGCAGAATTGAAAGACTCCAAGTTTTTCGTTCATGCGCAGCAAATAATTGCAATAGCGAATAATCATAGTAGGCTTGCGGTTCAGTTCTTGGTATAATTTCTGGTTTGGTATCCCCTTGGCATCCAAGGAGACAGCTATAATGAGAACCTCTTTTGGCATTGGTTCTATATTATGTGCTAGAAGAGCAATCGCTCTTTGGCATATCTGTTGCTCAATTGGTTCTTTTGTGTTTTCAAAGTATTCGGCATAGCGTTTGTAGAGTCTTTGCATCTCTTATGGTGGAATGAGGCTTTCTAGGGCATTTAAGATTTGTGATTCCATTTCCATGTTGCAGATATTCAACGTTTGCAAGCTTACCCACAAGAACCTAAGATCATTCATGTCAGCTGAAGTAGAGAGGGATACTTCACTATACTCACATCCCATCAGCTTTCTGCATTAATTTGTCATAAACCTGCTGCCTAAGCTTAGATGTGCGTCGTAAGACTGCTGACTGGAGATTTTTCGACAGGTAAGTTGCGATATCTCCTTTACTTTTCTCCGCCGTGACTTCAATCGGAAACAGTTTGTGTTTTCGTAGATTCTCCATACCATCGCAATCACGAGAGCTGATGGCTACACTGATGCGGTTGATTGATGTCCCCTTGAACTTTTGAACCATCTCGTTGAGTCCCATGATCATTTGATAGCGAGAACGTGAATAAAGTTGATCCACGGCATCAATGAAGATGTATATATCGCGTTTCAAGGAAACAAGCAGTTCATGCAGCTTGCTCTCAAGAAACTGTGTATCACGATTATTTACGAAAGTATGGGTCGATCGTTCTTCGGTTTTTAGAACCGCTTGGTCCCAAAATGTCATCAACATGTTTCGATAGCTTTCTGGATTATTTTCGTCGCTGATGTAGAAGTACAATAGACGTATAGCTCCATGTCCTTTCATCGGAAATCGATCCTGGTATGTGCTCTCAATTAAACGAGACCTGGACAGCAGAAAGATTAACCATTGCTTGTTCACGAGGGTCGGACTTAAGTATTCAATGAAGACAACGTCAATCTAGCTGGAAACTTACATCAAAGTTGATTTTCCGCACCCTCCTGTATAATTATCAGTATGGCGTTGTGAACTATGCGATTCAAGAAACTTACGAATGCCATAAAGCCAAAGAAAGGAATATTCCTCATCCATTTTCAGCCATGATTGAAGATCGGTCTCCTGCAATAGCCAGCTGCATGTTCCGGAATGTTCCCACGCTGTTTTAGTCCTTTCATGTGCATCCTGTGCAATATGTTTCAGGGTCTTGCTTCCTTGAGTTTCATCTGCAAATGTGAGTGTTACTGGGACTTGTATTGTAAATGCCCGAAACTTACATCGAATATTATCACCATAGTTTACACCTTGCACCAGACCAATATTGCCGTTTTGATTGATTCTATGGCTAATGTTTCCAGACATGACGATGAACAGTTAGTCTGTAGATCAGCTATTGATGTGCTACAGGATGATAACTTGAATGATAATTGATATTATCTTTGTTGAATTGAGAGTTAAATTAAGAGTTAGATTGAGTCGTCCAGCCGAGTCGATAGAGATGCAATGATAGTGGTGGTAGTGAGTGTCAAGATATAGTCACATGTACTGGGCCATGCATCGTTATCATGCATAACCTCCGCTATTGAGGAGTACTGTAAATGGGCCTTCGACTGTATATGATTAGACATCACAACATCATAGGGTAGTTATTTCACTCCTCCGGATGCAACATTGTAATCGTGACAACAAATACATGATTTTCGGTAGTATGTCGCAGTGAATTATTAATCGCTGCATCGTATCCACACGTTAAAGAAGTCCATGCAAGTTGAAAGTTGGATTGAGCTGCGCAAAGAGGTAGTATTTTTACAACTATTTCTATCCCACCATCTAGCAGCCACCTAGGGATGGCAACTTGATACGACGGTCAGTTCAAACAACATACTAATACTTGTATGACCGACGAGCTCGTAGCGCTCTATGGTCAGTTCGATGATATGATGTTGAGGTTCACTAATACGGCAATTTGAGAAACTTATTTAATATGAGATCTATATTCGATGAGATTGGTTATGTGACAGTATATTATCAAATGATATCAGTCAAAAAAATCTTGAAACGGCCGCTGGCACAGAAGAAACGGGCTGACATAATATGATATGACAGTGCAGAAAAGACCGTCTTTTCACAACCGTACGGCCGCCGGAAGTCTCGCTTATCAGATCAGAAAATTTGTTAGCTTGCAGATCCAGGGGGTTTAATTTTTTGGTGATGGTGGTGATGATATTTATGTATGTCCAACGGATGGAGAAGATCTCCGTACCTATGACCTATGACCCGTAGGGTGTGAGGACGTGCTAAGCTAAGGAATTACATACAAGTTATCTGGCCCACCTCAGAAAGCATTTCATGCACAAGCGCTTGACCATAAAGCTCTGCGCGTACGGCCAGAAAGTATGCAACACTCCACTCACACATGGGCCACCAATTACCTCGTATTTTACCCCCTTATGGGACGTGCCTGTCAGTGGAGTGTGGCATGCTTTATGGCAGCACGTGTATCAATGATAGCATGCACCCTTTGTTTGGTATCGAGCTACCAGGCCAGAAGAAGGCGAATTGAAAGAAGGGTAGTCGGAACTGGAGCCGAGAAAGAAGGGTCGTTTCGCTGTATTTTTAAGCTAAGTCGAGAAACGAGTGGAGGTGGCTGTCCGTTGGCTACTAGTCCCTCGTTTTGGTATCTGCACGTCTATTTTGAGTAACAAAACGGGGCTGTAATGGATGGCACAAATGCCACAGCTTTGTGGTGCAGCTTGTTTGATGCTCTGGTGGGGCGTTAGGCCGGAATCGTCTCAGCCCAATGCAAAGCCTCAACTTTGTGTTTCGTTGGAGACCATTCACATCTGTACGTTAGTGGGGTATGTTGATATCCTCCTCGCCGGAGTTGACAGCTCAAAAAAACCTGGGGTGTTCGTAGTGGCTCGATACTGAATAATCATCTTTTTCTTCAAGCAATTAAAACTTGATCTGTTGCGCCGATATTGTAAATTTACATGTTTATAAACCTCATACTGATCCGTGCAGATCTCTCACATGTACTCTTGCTGACAACACACGTTGTGATTCCTCACGTATGATACACAATAGGATTACAAAAGGTCTCTGCTACTTAGTATTCTCAAGGAACTGAGTTGAGTGGTCTGTAGATACAGACAACGCCGTAGCTTCTATTGAGTGCGTTGTTGAAAGGGGCGGAGTAGTGATACTACATTAAGTATAATAGATATTAACCACTCCGCAATATGAATATTGCAACCGTCGTTATGATTGATTGACTTATTTTGCACGAGTGCATACATTTGAACCGACTCCGTTTTGATATAAATTTCTTCCGTCACTTTGAATTCTGAGAAAGAATCACAAATCGCCTACGACAACTTTTCTTCTTTTAACATCACACACAAATAAAATACTAGTATTTGATTCTTCTCCCAAATATGGACGGCGTTAGCACAGCCATCAGTCTCTTTCAGTTTGCTGTCGACACACTAGGCTACATTCAACTTGCAAGAGAATCAAGGATGATTTCGAAACTCATCAGCTAAAGCTCGATATTATTCAACTTCGCCTTTCTCGTTGGGGTGAAATTGCTGGTCTCACTATCACTAGCAACCCCAGCAAGAACGCGAGTGGGTATACATACGATTTAGCTTCTATAAACGAAATTCTTGGTCATATCCAGGATCGCTTATTGAGCGCTCAGCGGGAAGCAAGAAGGTTACAGACAAAGCTAGATGGAAAAAGTTCGCTGCCACTTGATCCGGAATCATGCCTACCAACCGATCTAAAGAAAATTCGAGTCCGGTTTATGGGATTTCTCGGCAAGCGTAAATGTCAGGCATCCAAAGTCATCGAAGGCATTAAATGGGTTTTTTTACAAAAAGGATCATTTTGACAAGTTTGTAGAGAGCATCTGCAAGTTGATCGATGATCTTGAAAACAAATTTCCGGAGAATGACCGCGAGAAACTTCGCAAGCTCAGTGATGAGGAGTGCATGGGTATCAGCAAGTCTAATTTAGAGGAGCTCAAGGAAGTTGTTGAGGGGTGCGATCCGTGGTTAGGGAGCTCTGTGGACGAGAAGTTGAACAATAGTGGGGCAGGAACTGTCATCAATCAATCTCACAATACGGGTAGTACAGTTGGAATTCACAATGGGGACAACAAAGGGATTAGTTATGGTGCTAATAGCAATCAATTGAATATAGTAAAGGTTATAGATGAGATATATAGCCGTATGACTATTATTAGTTATTTGCTCGCCTTATTGTTATAGGAGCTGCCTTTGGGGTTATATGGAAGTGATTAGCGATCTCTCTGTTGGACAGACTTCGTCAGGTTGTACACACATGTAGTATAGGGTTTCTTTTGATATATTTCATCCCGTCTCCTTCCCCCTAAGAGGGTTCTTACTGCCTATATAAAATCGTATGCCAATCTACGCATGCAGGTTACGGACGCGATGCATAGTATATGTCACGTGACTTGTATATCACGTGCTGTGGCGAGCCGTCGGGGAAAAAGAAATCGGGTTTAGCTGTTTCGACCTGTACAGGAGCAGTAAGAGGCAAGTCGGCAACTGGAAGCGTTTGGCTGGTAAATTCGAAATGGAACATTCAAAAGTACCAAAATGTTTACAAGGTAGTTTGCTTGGTATGCAACTTATCGTTCGTCCCTTGCGTGAGAAGCACAGAGTGAGGCTAGTTCAAAGTGGATTGATTGATTTGGTGGGGAAAATAAGCTTGCATGCACGAAACATCTTTTGGGCGCAAGGCAAACCATACGTCAAGCTGAACACCATAAAAGGTATCAAAATATTCTTTCATATATGAGGTTTCTGGAAGTGAATATAATGGTTCATATGATAAAGAGCGAACTCACCAGTTTTTACTGCCAATATCTTCCAAGATAATGACTAACGCTTTGACCGAGATTACTGAAACATTCCCGACAGTCATCTATCTTGGCCATTATGATACTGCAACGACTCATTTTAATGAAATGGGGACTCAAATCGGCGGTTTGACAACACGGAAAATGATGATCAATTAACAAACAAACTCAAATGGATTATTATTCGCCCCCACCAGCATACAGTGAGACCCCGAGGCCATTACGGCCTTACGACGGTGCGAACCCCTCTCGAATCCAGCGCAAGCCCGTAACACTCCAATTGAATCCAGCGACGCCCTTGGGAAACAATGTCTATGATCCGACAAAGTATGGTCGAAATCTATCAGAAGACAGCAAAGCGGGGAAATATAGTAACAACAAAGCTGCTCAAACTTTAGTGTCGCAATCGCACACAGTTCCCATTCCACCCGCCGGTTTTGAGACCCTTCCAATCACCCAAACGGGTACACACATTGAAAGAACAATCTCTGCCCCGGCCGCCCCTTCAAATCTACCAGCCCTCAATGACGTTCCCAAAATCGCAAACGAAACATCATCAGAACCATCATCCACTCCATCCACATCCTACGTCTCAAAGGCATTTCAAGAAGCACGACATTTCGCGGGAGGACTCATATCTCATCCATCAGAAAGCACAAAACACTTTTCTATTCTACGACATTCACACGGTCTAGTATTTTATCAAGGTTGTTCTACAACTCTTACGGTTTCAATCTTCTCAGATGCACCTTTACCGCCAGATCGGCAGGTATGGCTTCAAGACAAAGGGTGGTCTGGAAATACTGGGATGCGTCTGAAAGCTTTTGTAGGAAATAATAGTAGTTGGATTAACGTCACACCAACAATACCCATTTCAGCAGAACAACTAAAAGAAAATGATGAGCGAGCCTGGCAGCGAGATATCAAGAAATTTTTGAAGAAAACAAAACATCCAAAACATATATTGCGCGAGACTCTTGTAGTCCGCATACCGGTCGAAGCAAGCGATGGCTATTTCCACCTTGTGCTTTGTAAGGGTGAGAAGAAAAAAGTTTTGTGTCCAAGTCCGGTTTTCCGCATTCTTTCTGCTTCGAAAAGTCCTTCTTCAATGAGAGGTGCGAGTTTGAGTACCTTACCATTGGAAATTGGGGCTATGGCTATGACTGTTTATGCCAACAAGACAATTGGAGGATTGGTTTCTCCAGTTGCATCTACTGCAATGAAAGTTGCTCAACCTTTCATGCCTTCTAAAACCCAGAAGGAAGCAGCCGTGGCACTTTATGGAAAAAGCGGAACAGAAGATATGGTGAAATCGACCATCACAAATGGAAACATTCATTACAAGGGAGTGAGAAGTTTCTCATATAATCAAGCTGGAAGTGGAGACAATGAGTCGGGACCAAGAGCTCCTTATCCAATTTGTTTCATAGCACGATCTGAGATTGAAATGAAAGAGGGAGATTACTTTAGTATGCCTACCATGACTTTATCTGGTATTGCAGAACACATATCTCATCAACTCCGAGGGCATTATTTCGCATGGGTTCGACGACTTCCAGATAAAGGAACACCGCGTCTCGATACGGATATCTGGTCGCAAACAGTGATATCCTCGTTACCAATGCAAGCATCCAATCTTCACAAAGCGACGATTACCGAAGCCAGCAAAAGAATATTCAAAATCCATTTCATATCCGATTGTTTCGATCCCCAAGCCTATGATGTGAAGAATTTGGAAATCAAAGTTATGGGATTCATACGTCCAGACGCGCATCCTGTATCTGCAAATGAGATAGAAGAGGAGTTGGTCGCTTCACTTAATGATATTGTTTTTGCGCAGACAATACTTGGTCAACCGGTTTTTGCACCGGAGGCGGGGGAGGAGCAAGGGAGAGGATTGTTGGAGAGAGCTACGACGGGATATGCGGATGTGAGGTTGAGGGCGCAGAGGGAGTTGGATAGAGTACCTTTGCATAAGATGGGTTTGAGGATGAAGGTGGATAGGTTGAGGGATGCGGGGGTGGGTTTGAATGGATTTTATGTGGTGAGATAGGAAGAATGATTTATGATGGGTCAATTAGTTACGTGGGATTGTTGGGGTGATGTATTTGTAGTGTAGCCTAATCTTTAATATTTAATATTTAATATTGACATATGCACGGTTTTCAACTACGATATTGTCTTTGCATAAATTGGTATTATATCGTTCTCCTTTTAGTCGATTTCTTCCTGTCCACGAATTGTTGAACATGCTCATGCACTTCCAATACCCATCTCAATAGAAAATCAAATCTAATCACAGCCCAACTGTTTACTAAACCAAACTTCCACTACTCGACCCAAAAATCCACCTCTTCAGAATCCATTCCATTTTCTCAATTCTCCAGATCACAACTTCTTGATGCTTGATCGATCATGATCTATACATTGAACTCCCGTTCTTGCTGAAGATCTAGATATCAGAAATCTAAACTCTGAAGGTTATTCTTATTCTTATTCTTTTTCTTTTCCTAAGTGATGGTAATATCCTAAGAATAAGACTAATCAAACATCTGATCTCGATGTCGATGTTAATATAGAAATTACACTATATATTATATTATATAGGATAGAATAGAATTATTAATTTGAGAAGGATACGAAAGACGTAGTACCTACGTATTGATAGGTTCTAAATATCTAATTGTATTCCATCTAAAGAGCTAGCTATGTAGAAAAGTAGTAGGCCTTATATTATTATTATTATTATTAGTAATTTTCAACCGGGCCGTATAGGCGAGCCTCCCAGGGGGCATTACGGTTGGGCTAACTGCTGGATGATCTTCTAATTTACATGATCCCCCTTTCCTAGGGATAGGGTCTCAATACCCTCAGTAGCCTCCCAAGCGATGGCTAGCGCACTTGCGCCTTTGTCTCCGATCCTCTGAGCGCCTCCATGCACGCTTTCCGATCTCCTATATAATATTTGTTTGAAAGCTGCTTTATTCTGTAAGGGTAGCTTTTGTATACATTCTATTGCAACATGGTATGCCGCGTTAGGCCTTATATAGATACTACTAAAAGAGCTAGTTTCTTTCATATCTGCTTAATCTCTTTAATATAGTAGTTATTGAATTGAAGTCATTTATTCTAATTCATATAAGAATAGAATTTAATCTTCTATTACTAGATCTTTATAATATCGTGATATATAAACTTATAATTATCTATAGTTTATCTATATAATATAACCCTAACCCTAAATCTTACCTTTTGTCACGGGATCACCTCTGGGAGTATTCAGAAGCTTTACCGCTGAGCTAAACGCCCAAAAGACTAGGAGGTAGAACTGGAAGTTCTACCCTACTCTCACATATATAGCAGGACAGGACAGGACAGAAAGGGCTTAGTGTCACCCCGTGACACCACCCCCCTCCTTAAGGTATGGTCTCCATACCATCACCTACTAGGAGGTTTCAGGATTCAGGATTCTGGATTCTAATGCCTTAGGCATTCAGACAGGCAAACAGGATCTATATATGCTAGCCCCTAAACCAATGAAGACTTGTAAACTATAAGTAGGCTCTTTACACAGCTCTACTTATAACTAAGGGTAGTTCTACCTAATGTCATAGGATCACCTCTGGAAATATTCAGAAGCTTTACTATTGAGCTAAACGCTTAAAAGACTAGAAGATAGAACTGGAAGTTCTACCTTATTCTCACATATATAGCAGGACAGGACAGGACAGAAAGGGCTTAGTGTCACCCCGTGACAAGTATGAGAAGTATAAATTCTAATCAGATAACCATACTTTTCTCTATATATTTTACTATCTCGCTATTCTATTTTTCTTTATTAAGATCTGAGATAGAATAATATATATATATTCTCATCTAGTATTTACTATCTTATTCGCGTCGATATATATATAATATTCTCAAGTCGACTTGAATGAAACTTATTTAGACATACTAGAGTCGATTCGAGTATATATAATATAACGTTTAATAATAAATATCTATATAATAGTACATCTCTAAATAAACGAAATAGAAAAAATAATACTCGAGAAAGAATATAAAAACGTATAGTTATAAAACTAGTCTGCAATTACAAACCAAGAGAGAGTTATATTTAAACTGTGTGAACAAGGGAATTCACTTCAAAAGAATGACTTCAATACAATGGCTACTGTATCAAAGGTATTTAGGCAAATGTGAAGGAGATTAGCTCTTTTAGTAGTGTTTATATAAGGTCTATTACTTCCCCTTATTAGCTAGCTCTTTAGATAGAATACAATATAGACATTTAGGGGTCTACTAATAATAGTGGGAATCATGTTTCCTGTATTTCTAATCTTATTATTGAATCAATACTAATTAATAATATCACAAATTATTTAACTTATTTATTCGAAATACTTTTTTACTTTTACTTTTTTTATTTCCCATTATCAGCACTATGACATCCCGGGCAAGCGCTAGCATTAGCTCTAAGTAAGCTAGCAAGAAACCCGATACTGGCAAGAAATCTATTCTATCCGATCAATCCATTGATATAGAAGGATTTATCGATACGACAACTGACAACACCG